AACTAAAGCAGGTTGTGATACGAGCACAAATGTGGCTTGTATAGCGTGGCCTAAAAAACCGAGCTACTATACTAACAATGAATCACGCAAAAATCCTGAAATTTCCGAAAATTTTCAAAAGCTACCGATTTAAATTTTATCAGATTGTTTCTATCATACTACTTTAAAGAATAAAGATTTCGGGAAGAGGACCAGGGACACCTCTATTCGAAAAAAATTTATTTGTAGTTCGATTTTTACATAGATGTCTTTTTGCTTAAGTTAACAGGAACACTATTCTTCTCTCCGGGAAGTGGATGAGGGGCTGATCTATTCAAAAAATCTATTTTATGGATCGGATTACTTGAAATACGGTACATTGGTGCGTTTTTGCTTAGATTAACAGGAAGACTATAATTCTTTCCGGAAAGTGGACCGGTGACAGACCTATTCAAAAAGAGAAGATATAAATTGAACGAGTTACTTCAAACTCGGTACAGAGGTGGCTGTTTGCTTAGGTTGAAAGAAAGACTGTTCTTCTCGTCGGGAAGTGTACCAGGGATTGACCTATTCGAAAAAATTGTATTTATTTCTGGATTTACATTAAATTTGGAACAAAGGTGGCGTTTTACTTAAATCAACAGGGAAATTGTTATTCTCTTCGGAAGGTGAACCTAATCAATCAGATCTTATTTACAATTTGGTTTACTTGAAATTCGATGCATATTAGTCTTTTTGCTGAGATTAACAGGAAGATTAAACTTTCCTCCTGGAAGTTGACCAGGAAGCAACCTATTAATGCAAAACTACTCTGTCATAAGGAGTCTACTAAGGAGATATGGTGATCTCCGAAACAGCTGTCACCTCTACCACTTTTGATATTTGATAACAAAAATATTCAGTTCATACAATCAACTCACACAAATTAAAATCTTTACCGCTTTGGCCAATATATCAGTTATAAACCCACATACTCGTATATTGATTTTGTTTCTTTTTTTCTTTATTTTAAAACAACCAAACGAGTTTCAATTTGTTTTATACCAATTATGCCCATATTTACGAAAGCTTTATTCTCCGCAAGGTTGTTGTCATTTATTCATCCAAGTTTTCTTCATGCCGTTTCAATCATTTTCAAATTGGCTTATTTTGCTTGACCACCAACATACTTCTGCAAGCAATGCAACCAGTTTTTCCCCTTTGTATCGCATTTCCATCGTCGAGGTGATTTGGTGAAAAGGCACATGGTGACTCGTCCGACTCTTGAAGCAATTGTTGCAAATAATCATCAAGAAGAAAATGTAAAAAAAGCAAATTTCAATGTCATGGTTATGCTGAATTTTCGTTATAATACAACAGTTCGTCTAACTGCGTCGATAACTGCTTTTGTGCCAACCAGACTTCGAGGTAATCATCTTTCGGTAATTATAAGAAATCTTGGCTTTTCGTTAACTTACGTATGTCCGGTCCCTTTTAAAATGAGAAAATAGAACCTGCAAATAAATGTTTTATTAGGAAAAATATATTATAAACCATATATATATAGTTTTAATTAGCAAATAAATGCATTCCTTTTTTGATTTTTTCTTTGCTCAGTTTTGGAAAAATGACTTGCAACTAGGAACGGCGACTTTACATCTTTCACAAAAAATATTAGTATTGAATAATTCCGCATTCCGTTGCGATAAATTCAATTTAACCACAGTGTAGACCATTTTGTTTTATGTGAGCGAGTGGGGTGTAACATTCGGTTTCCAATCAAAATCCAACCGCTGAATTTTCCTCAGAAGAATTTTCCGGAGTCTATGATTATGGCAGCAGCAGTGGTATCATATTCTATTTTTTAACTTGCATTTGTTCATTCAAACAGCAGAGTTTAATCAAGCGTTTCATCATGTCTCTGTTGGTCTGCAATCCACATTACTGACTTCACATAGCGCGGACAGGTTTATTTCTTCCTTCATCCAGTCCAAATACTAGATAGGTATAACAAATTTTGCTAGTCGCTGGATGTATAAATTTGTATGTATATAAATAGATTGATTTCTGTTTTAAGTAATAAGATATACACAGTTTTTCAAAAAATGGATATGTGTATTGTACATATGCACACAAATAAAATATATTCAATATTTTGAACGTCGGCACGAACCCGCAACCCAATCGAAATAATGAAACGAAATATTTAAAAAGAGTGAGGGTGTTAGTAGAAGTACTAACTTTTACTGAATTAAGTCCAAGTATTACCTTTCTTAATAGTAAAATAGCTGCATTTAACATAATAAATAAAATGTGCGCAAAAACGTAACCTTTCCTGAAAACTGATATTAACTAATACGGAACTTTCTTCTGTTTATGCTTATATCTATTTATGAATGTGCATAATTATAGATAATCTGCAGTTTATCGGTGGTACAAAATGTTCTCGGAAACCCGAGAAGATTAGAACGACGAAGAGCGCGCTGGGCGCCCGAGCACTTCAACAACAGACGAAAAAATTAATTGCAGTTGCTTGGTGCATCATGAGTTTTTGCCACAGGGTAGAACGGTCATTAAGGAATATTACCTGCAAGTTATGCGCAATTTGCGCGAAGCAATCCGCCAGAAAAGCCCGGATTTTTTGGAAGAATAAAAATAAGCTTTTGTACCACGATAACGCCCCTGCTCACACATCGTTGCTTGTGCACGACTTTTTGGCCAAAAACAACACCCTAATGATGCCGCAGCCACCGTATTCCCGAGATCTGGCCTCCTGTGACTTTTTCTTGTTCCCTTAACTGAAAAGGCTCATGAAAGGACGACGTTACGCTACGGTTGACGAGATAAAGACGGCATCGAAGGAGGAGCTGAACAAGATAAAAAAAATAATTTTTTGAAGTGCTTCGAAGATTGAAAAAACCGTTGGCACAAGTGTATATCATCTCATGGGGATTGCTTTGAAGGGGACAAAATAGATATTCATGAATAAATATATAATTTTTGAAAAAACATAAAATTTGCGATATTTTTTGACCACACCTCGTACCTATGCCGCAATAAGCAAAATTATGTTTGCTGATTTGAAAAATATATGTTTGTTCAATGTTATCTTCGTAGGTATGTGCTTAGATTTTGTAACGACAAAGTGAACTCGTTTGCGACAACATAGAGTATAGCGGTACAAACTATTTGAGTCGTAAAGTAAACGCGTTGGAGATTACATTTAAGTAAAGTAAATTGTGAAAGCTTATACAAGTGATTGTAAGAAGTAAAGTGCATTGTAATTGAATGGTGAATTACTGAGTAAATAAAGGAAATTAAATAAATTCTTTGTAACGAAAGAAACTGCAAATTAAGTTGGTTTTTTTTTTTAACAATCCAGAGATCGTACCCGAAAATCAGAAATCAGAAAATCATCGAGGTTGATTTAGCAAAATCGTAACAATATGTATAATTTTATACTTCCTAAATATAATTAATTATTTATATATATAGATATGTATATATATATATATATCTGTATCTATATCTATATATACGTGTATATATACGTAAATATTGTTGTTGTGGAGGCTCAAAAGTCATTGGCTTGGGGTCTTCACAATTTTAATTTGTACCCGAATTAGATGTGCAATAAGTGATATAAAAATAAGATGCGAAAGCAAAGGCAAATTACGATTAATGTGAATACATTAATTTGGAAATATGAAGCGAAAAAAAAACTTTTTTAAATTCGAATATTAGAAATTAATTGGAAAATTAAACTTATAAAAAAAGTGATGCGAACTGTGAAACACTTATGTATGCATATATAATATAATATATGTATATGTATTTACAAATGTATATGTAATTACTTTGCTTTTGTTTTGTTTTGAATCATATAACACTGAAAGCACGATATTTTGCACTGATTACTAGATGAAAAGGGCTCAACAATATTCTCACGCACCTGTTGATCCAAATATTTGCGTGCCGAAGTTANGCAAATTAAGTTGGTTTTTTTTTTTAACAATCCAGAGATCGTACCCGAAAATCAGAAATCAGAAAATCATCGAGGTTGATTTAGCAAAATCGTAACAATATGTATAATTTTATACTTCCTAAATATAATTAATTATTTATATATATAGATATGTATATATATATATATATCTGTATCTATATCTATATATACGTGTATATATACGTAAATATTGTTGTTGTGGAGGCTCAAAAGTCATTGGCTTGGGGTCTTCACAATTTTAATTTGTACCCGAATTAGATGTGCAATAAGTAATATAAAAATAAGATGCGAAAGCAAAGGCAAATTACGATTAATGTGAATACATTAATTTGGAAATATGAAGCGAAAAAAAAACTTTTTTAAATTCGAATATTAGAAATTAATTGGAAAATTAAACTTATAAAAAAAGTGATGCGAACTGTGAAACACTTATGTATGCATATATAATATAATATATGTATATGTATTTACAAATGTATATGTAATTACTTTGCTTTTGTTTTGTTTTGAATCATATAACACTGAAAGCACGATATTTTGCACTGATTACTAGATGAAAAGGGCTCAACAATATTCTCACGCACCTGTTGATCCAAATATTTGCGTGCCGAAGTGATGTCCCGTTGCTTTTTGCCTCTATCTCCAATACCTTTTATGAAGGTGGTGGGACTCGATCCGGCTCTAAGGTCCAAATGTTGAGATATTTAAAAAGAGTGAGGGTGTCAGTAGAAGTGCTAACTTTTATTGAATTAAGTCCAAGTATTTCCTTTTTCAATAGTAAAATAGCTGCCTTTAACATAATAAATAAAATGTGCGCGAAGACGTAACCTTTCCTGGAAAATGTTGATATTAACTAATACGCAAGCAGCAGTTCGGACAACTACACAGTGACTTTCAAACTTTTAAGGCTTTCAGCTTAAACAGTTGCACTTAATATGTGAAAAGTATATATCAAATAAAATTAAGTTAATCAAGTTTAAGATAAATAAACGAATGAATCCTTAACTCTTCTTCACTCACATAAATTTTTTTACAGGTATTGGCGATCTCTTTCCAACCTCGTGGCATCGCTTTTGAACTCCATACAGTCAATTGCATCTTTATTGCTGTTGCTATTTCTTTTTATAGTTATATTTGCTCTTTTGGGCATGCAAGTTTTTGGAGGAAAGTTTAACTTTGAACCATCGGAAGAGAAACCACGTGGGAACTTTGATTGCTTCTGGCAGAGTTTATTAACAGTGTTTCAGGTAACATTTATATTATATTTTTCGCCCTTGAATGACATGTAAAAATAATATTATTATAAAAGTTACCTAGATCAAATATTTATTTTTTGCATTTCAATTAAATTTTTAATTATAGTTAATATTTTACGGTTTTTATAATCCCAAACAAAGTTTAAATTAAAAAACGACTAATAGACTAAAGTAAGAAGAGAAGAAATTTCTCTACTCGGTAATTTTTTTTCGGCTTTACACTTTTCATGACCTGAGGCTTGTGGAGCCAGCGAATTTTTTATTGAATCTTTATATTGCATTTAACATGCCTTAAGGTTAAATGTATTGCACTATGATTACATGGGATTGCAAAGTCGACCCCGCTTGTAATCAATTCCAGGGATATTGAAAAAACATTGCTTATAAAAAGAATTTTCCAGCGCCAATATAATAATTTTCTCAGGAGTGAACTGTGTGCCAGCTATTATTTATATATTTTCTACTCTGAAAATCGTACATATAATCCTGTTTCTACACGGTCTTTTTCTATATGGTTTTTATTTAACACGGTTCGACAATAAACAAATGTTAAATTTGTTAAACGATTTTATTCCATTATTGTAGAGGTGGGTTATGGGCTACCTGAGTGGTCGACAATCATCGGTATTATTCCGAGGTGAAACATCGAGACCCAGAAAAATTAAACAGGAGATTCCGCAGGGTAGTGTCCTCTCCCCCTCCTCCTTCCCTAGACAGCCTGCACTCCTTCACTCTGCATACGACCGCAATTGCCACTAAACTCCAAAACCGCAAGAAAATACTCAAAGCGCTAGCCGGAGCACCTGAGGTTAAGACAAGGAAACTTTGCTGGCAACTTACAAAGAAACTTGCTCTGCCGGTCGTAAGCTATGCTGAACGATCTGCGTGCCGAGGACGAACGTAGCGCAGATGAAGAAGTTACAGGCTTGCCGAAATATCGTGCTCAGGACTACGACAGAAAACCTCCTGATGTCACCGGAGCATCACTTGCATAGTGAAGCATCTATGCTAGGAGCTAAGGAGCATAATGATTTAGTGAGCAAAGTGTTTCTATTAGGATGCTTCTACAGGACAGAATGGAAACAACCGCTGGACAGGACGACCTACAGACAAGCACTGAACGCCATTCTCCAGGGATCAGTCAACACCTTCAAGGACTCCCTTCCAGTGAATGACGTGCTCGGAGAAAAATCACCCGTGTGACCTTGGCACAACTCAAGCTTGGATACTGTAGCAGGTTAAATTCCTACTTATATATACTAGACCCTAGCATATCCAACGTAAGCCCTGCATGCGCAGAGTCTTCGCACGACACTAGCAACCTCTTCAATTGCCCTCTTAAACCAACTCATCTAACCCCCCTCACCCTTTTGTCCAACTCCGTCGAAAGAGCTCGTTTCCTGGACTTCCTATTAGATGACCTCGGCGACATACATTAATCAAACCTGTGTCTAAACGGGGTTAGCGAACCGCTACAGCAACACATGGAGCCGAATACAAACGAACATCGCAATATTGTTGCGAAACTGCGAGGCGAATGTCAGATGAAAGAGAGAAGCCGATAATTAGTACATTCTAGAAACGATAAAACGAGAACCTTCGATAGCGAATAAATCGAGTATTCTACACTTTCGTCTACGAGCAGCCGACTGCTATATAAAGGCGACACTCAGCTGCCAAGAAGTTAGTTACCAAGTGAACTCGTTGGCGTTAACATCGTAAAGTAAACGCGTTGAGGATTACAATTAAGTAGAGTAAATTGTGCAAGTTTATGCAAGTGATTGTAGCTAGTAAAGTGCATTGTAAGTGAGTGGTGAATTACTGAGTAAATAAAGAATATAAGATAAATTCTTTGTAACGAAAGAAACTGCAAAATAAGTTGGCGAGTTTTTATCTAACAATCCAGAGATCGTACCCGAAGGATTCAGAAAATCATCGAGGTTGATTAACCAAAATCGTAACAATTGGTGTCAGAAGTGGGATTGTTAAACAAATCTCAAGGGATAATATTTGCAAAATGGTAAAGATTCAGGATTTGACGATACCTCCTCTCAAGAGGGAGTTGGCAAAGCGAGGATTGTCGACAACTGGAAATAAGGCAGAGCTGCAATCGCGACTGCGAGATGCAATGGAAGTTGAAGGCATCGACTTAAACCAGCAGGAGTTCCACCGCGAGGATGAAGATGTATCCTTGAAGGACATTGACAAGGAAGAGGCGGATG